CAGAGAGCAGAACAGAGAGGAGAGGGAGGGACAGAGACCCAGAACCTCACCAGGACCCACCACTCAGCCCCAGAGAGAACCGAGAGGAAAAGGAGTGAAAGAGACCCAGAATCTCACCAGTACCCACCACTCAGTAACAGAGAGAACAGAGAGCAGAACAGAGAGGAAAGGGAGGGACAGAGACCCAGAACCTCACCAGGACTCACCACTCATCCACAGAGGGCAGAACAGAGAGGAAACGGGGGAACAGACACCCATAATCCCCATGAGAACTCAGTACTGGTCCACAATAGTTTTACCACATGCATAAAAAAGCAGAAACAGAGACCCATATAACTCTTGACACCAAGACTTCTGAACTTTGATTCGGTGGGACACCATCAAATCAGAGTTAGTACTGTCTTTCCTAAATGGTTGAAATTTAGCAAGTAGACACCTACATTAAATCATGAGTCTAGGGCTGGAGCTGTAGCTCTGTGGCAGTGAGCTGCCTAACATGCATGAGGCCCTGGTTTCGACGATCCTCTTTACCATATAAAAATAAATCAAATAGAGGCATTCTATCCATTTACAACTACAATAAAATTAAAAAAATTAATCTAGGCCATAGTTTACAACTTTTATAAGATGAATCTGAGCCTATGTATGACACAGGTGTATAAGACATAGCTATATAGGATATTGACACAGGAGTAATTTGGGTCTCCTGTGGTTTGAGAGGAGATTTTAGGTGCAGCATAAAGTACGATGCAGTAAGAAAACATATATATATTTTGTTTTTGGTGATGGAGATTGACTCAGAGCCTTGTGCATGCAAGGTAAGAACTCTATGAAGTGAGCTACATCCTCAGCCCCACAAAGAACATATATGATATAGCGTGGATCCTGGTTTAGTGGCGCCCACCTCAATCCCAGCAACTCAGGAGTCTAAGGAAGTTGGATGTCAAGTCCAAGGCCAACTGGGACAACTTGGAGAGATTATGTCTTGAAATAAAAGGGCTGGGGATTCAGTTCAGGTTACTGAACTGAATGGAAATTCAGTTTTTGAATTCCCAGATTCTGGGTCTCTGTTCCCCCTGTTTCTATCTGTTCTAAGCTGAATGCAGCACTCCTCAGTTAAATTCTCAGTGTCCCCCCTCCAAGGTAAGTGTGTAAGAAACATGCTCACTTGCCCAAATCCAAAGAGTGGACTGAGACCACAGGCACAGAGAAGTGAGGCTATTAATGGTGGTCCTGCCAGAGCGGATGTCAGAGAGCAGGCACATCCAGACCAGTCTCAGTCAGTGCTCACTCCCTAGTGCACAAGTCCCGCCCCTTATGCCTTGCTGGTTGATCACAAGGTGCGTGGTCTTCTCCAATGTCCCCTAGGTCTTATTATCTCCTGGTTGGGTCACTTGAAGAAACATTCTTTCAGCTGTCCCCGCGTTGATCTTCCTTGACCAGGTCAGTCCTCCCCCACCTCCTGTTTGTCACAGGGCTGTGAATCTGTCACACTCAGGCATTAACTGCTTGTAACTTTCCATCCTGCTCTCCCCTACTGCTGTTTTTCCTACATCCTAATATTACATTTAAGGCTAAATACTCATATTCTGAAAATGGATCACTGGACTTTCTATATCTCAGAAACTGGACTTTACTAAAATTTAAAATTTCTTTTTTCTTTTTTGCCAAATATACTATTAATAGAGTAAAAAGACAAGCCACATCCTGGGGGAAAATATGTGCAAAGCACATATATGTTCATGAGCTTGTGTCCAAATATTCAAGAAACTCTTAAAACTAAGCCATAAGAAAAAAGCCCAGTTTAAAGAAGAGCCAAACAGACACCTCAATAGAGAAGAAGACGTGCTGGCGACAGATAAGATTGCCGCCTCCTGACCCTGGCTCTGTGATCAGTCACGGGCCCTAGGCCCCACTCGGTGGACGCGGAGTGCGCGGGCATGCAGCTGGGGGGGTCTGCATTCATTGCTGCCAGGAATGAGGTGCAGCTTCTCACACTTGAGCATTGTCAGGCCCTGTGAGCTGGCAGCGGTGCCCCCTGATGTCCAGCCTACTGAGCTGAAAGCTCCTATCACACAAAAACCTGCACACAGATGTTCATGGCAGCTTTAGAACCTCCCCAAGCTGGGCTCTAGTAAGACGCCCTTCAGTGGGTAAGGGGTGAACAAACTGTGGTAGATCCAGACCAGGAAATATTCCTGAGCAATAAAAAGAGAGAGTGATCCCGTTGCAGACACACGGAGGGACCTGTGTGCATGTTGCTAAGTGGAAGAAGCCACATGGAGGGCCACACACTGGAGATACCAACTGCCTGTGTTCCAGAAAAGGTGGACCCGTAGCAGCTCTGTGGCTCCCTGGGATCAGGTGGGTGTGGGGAAGAGAGCAGGTGGCTGGGTGCTTTTAAGGAAAGGAGATCCTCTTTATGACACTGTGATGGTAGATATATGTCATTATGCATGTGGTGAGGCCCACTGCACTTTTCAAAGTGCAAAGACTAACCTTAATGAGTGCAAACAAATCAATTAAGTGGGTTGACGGATTCAAGGAAGAATACAGACTGTGAAGGAGACTTTCACAGCATTACAAATGTACTACTATACTCCCTTTCTGCAGGGTCTGGGGAAAAGAGGTTTGTTTCTGTAACTTTGGAAATGAGTGGCATCTGTGAGATTGAGGGCACAGGAATCTGTGTAGTGCTGTGCTCGGCTGGATAAAGGCTAACAATCCTTACACCAGGTTCTGAACAAGCGAGTGAGTGGTGAGGGGCGGGAGGCAGGATGGTGGGAAGTTACACATCACCAGAGGAGCAGGCTGAGCACTCATGTTTAACCTCATCCAGTGGCAGACAGCTGCATGTAGAAAAACAGACATGTACACTCAAGTTAGCACTCTACGTCAGCAGACAGGGTCTGGAAGCAGGACTCCCCTGCAGCAGAGAGCATGCGCAGCTCCTGGTCTTGTCTCCTAACTCCACGTTCTGATCAAGGAAACTGTCAGGAGCTACCTCATAGGAACTGAGCGCCTCTTAGCCTTGAGCGATAGAGTGAGGAGGTGTGGCAAGCAGCCACAGGCTGTGTGTGTGTGAACTACGGGCCCTGAGCGCACAGGGTGGACTGGACTGAGGTTGCCCCTCTGTTTGGGCAGGCCTCGCTCTGGTCTTTTTACCTGCTCTGCCATGATCCCCACACACTCCTGAGATGGGCATGGCCTTCCCAGATGATAGCCAACCTGCTGACAGCAGACATCCAAAGCTAGACTCAACCCCCTGAAACCTGACCCCTTGCCTCATTTGAATGGCTTCTTCCCAATAATAGGGTTCAGCATGTGCTCCATGCTCTTCCATGGATCCCGAAGGTCAGGGGAGCCCTCACAGGACCCAAAGAAAAAGGTATTTCTCTGTCTCTGATTATTTCTTGCAGCCCAGTTCACTTGGAGTGACCCTGAATGTTTAGTTGTGGAACATGACAGGGAACAGGTCTCCTTGGAGCAGGAGCCAATCCAGGACTGGGCAGGAGGCGTACAAAGAAGCCTGTATATCTTGTAGTGCCAGAAAGTTAAGACCCTAATTCGAGTTGAAGAGGTCCAGGAGCCAAAGGTGAGTTAGGGTGGGGCAGGGTAGCACGAGGGGCCTAGGCAAAGCGGCCTCTCATTTTTTCTAATAGGTTTGCAGCAGGGGACCAGGGCCTGGCACATTGCAGCAGAAGCAGAGCAAGAAGTGGCACAGAGGGCCTGCTGCCTTCCATGGCCCTAGGGCACCCTGAGCATGGTTTTCTCAGTCCTGGACCCTTGTACTGCCTGCTCAACATTTATTCAGGCCTCAGGGTGAGGGGGACTCAGGCTGTAGGGTCCTTCAGGTACCTTTGCAGCTCAGAGTACACTGACCCTAGGGGACACCCCACCCCCACCCCATGTCCCTTGTTCTCACAGAAAGTAGATTCCAGTCTCAGCCAGAGCCAAACCTGCCAGGGAGCTCAATCACTAAGCTCCAGTACTCCGAGGCATCAGCCCCTCCATGGCCGGCAGGGTGTGTCTGAAAATTGTGGGACCTCCTGCACTTCTGCAGGCACCTCTCCCACCATGGCCAGGATTCAGGTCAGTGGAGGGTCCTGATCCTGCAGAATTCTTTCCTGCCCCCCAGCTTCAGCTCAGTCACAGAAGATAGTCCCTCCCTCCTGGGGCAGCCCCACCTGCCCAGGTGAGCACAGCATCTCCACCACCCAGCTTCATATGGGCAGGGGCAGGAGCAGGGGACTAGGGCCCGCCTGACCAGAGTCATGCCTGGCCCACACAGAGCATGACTCTGTCTTGGCCACTCATGAAGATGGGCCAGTTCAAGAGCACAGAAGGCCAGGGCTGGAGGCCAGCCCTGCCGCACTATACATACCTGGCCTCGGCGTGTCTCACAGTTGTGAAGGTAGCTCAAGTGATAGATCTTCAGGTTCAGCCCAGCGAAATTCAGGTATTTCTTGAAAACCTGAAAGAGCCATTGTGCATCAGGAGTCAGCAATCCCAGGTTGCAGAAGGAATGAGCACCCAGGCTGCTGAGGACCACCATACATGCACAGACATGCTGGCAACCAGTTCACACACCTATTGGTGTGGACTCACACAAGCTCAGGTGCATGGTGCAGGCCCATGGCTCACATACACCGTGTGCAGAGGGATGTGACTAACAGGTGTTCAGACAGACATGGCTCACACATAGGCATGCAGAAGAGATGTGGCTCATGAATAAGTATACAGAAGTGTGTGGTTCTAATACATGAGTTTGCAGAGGGACGTGGATCACGGGTATGCAGAAGGGACGTGACTCATAGTTGTAGAGAGAGACATGGCTCACACATGGGTGTGCAGAAGGGATGTGGCTAATGCATAGGTATGCAGAAAGGCATGGTTTTCATACATGGGTGTGCAGAAAGAAGGGATGTGGCTCACACATAAGCATGTGGAGGGACGTGGCTCTCCTATGTGAGTGTGCAGAAGGGATGTGACTCACACACAGGTGTGCAGAAGGGATGTGGCTAGTGCATAGGTGTGCAGAAGGGTGTGGCTCACACACACAGTGTACACACAAGTGTAAGCGGGTGCTAGCGCAGCACTGCAGCTAGGAGACCGTGCAGCAGGAATATGTAGGGATGTGGCCTCAAGCCCTGCACACTCACATCTTCGTCTTCGCTGGTGAAGCAGGAGCCACTGAGCTTGTTCACTGCCATGATCACTGCGACGACTTCCTTGCCGTTCATGATGGGTGTGGCCAGGATGCTCCTGGTCACGTAGTCTGTGAGCTCATCTGCGAAGGGGCTGAAGTGGGGATCCTGTGAGGGGAGAAAAGCCTGCTGAGGACAGAGCCCTGGCTACGGCCGGGCCCCCTAGCGTGGAGCTCTGAAGCCACTGCCCAGTTCTGCACTGAGGCCAGGGCCCCTGCCTTGGGCCTTGGATGTGGTCACAGGACAGGAGCTGAGAAGGCAGCCTGGGGCTGTGGCTGCACCAGGCCGGCCCCACCTGAGCAGGTGACCCCTGACCTCTGACTCCTGGAGAGGGCTCCCTGGCTCCTCTCACACTCTTCCTGGATCCAGGACGGCTGAGTCTACCTGACCACTCCATCCCCACGCCCTCCTAGGCAGGATTTACCCCCCAGGCCAGCTGCCCTCCTCTTCCCAAAGGGTGACTGTGGCTTCAGAGCCACAAGCCCCATGTCTGACACATTGCCTGGACACTGTCACCAGAACGGGAGCCGCTGGTGAGTCAGGCTGAGGACGCCATTCCCCAGGGCCTGTCTGCCAGCCCCTTTTGCCCCAGGATCTGCTCCATGGTTGCCCACCACATTCCTCTTTTTCCTCCATGATTAGAGCTTTGTCCACCTGAGGCCCCCAGGGAGGCTCCTCCTGCTCCCCCAAGATATAGAGGGACTCCTGTCCCTGGTCTTGGGTTCTGTATCCAGAAGCAGCAGTTGGCCAAGCCCTGTTCAGCCTGGACGTACTGAGCCAGGTAAGTCCCTAGGGGCCTTAAAAGATGGGACATGGCCCTGCCTCCCTCCACTGCTTTCTGGTTCTGATTTTATTGGCATGAGGCAGAGGAGCTCTGGCACGGGGACTGCAGTGCATGGCTATGGCCTTGCCTTGCTGGGTCTGGCATCCCCAGCAAACAGGGCCCAACCCTGTGTTCCCCCATCCCTGGTCACCAGTGCAGCTGCCCAGGTTGGCCCCTGGGCTGGAGAGGAATTTCCTGCCAGTGCCCTTGCATTGGCTATCACTGTGCTGTGACTTCCCACCCTTCTCTGTGACTCAGTCCCAACCTGCAGCCCAGGAAGTCCATGCTGTGTCCCACTTCCTTTTCAGCAGGGCCAGTGGTCTGTGGTGTTGGAGAACAGGTCATACCCAGACCTCAGGTGGAGCTCACACCCCCACCTGGACCTCAGGTGGAGCTCACAC